AGCTTGAACCTGTTAACGGGAATAAGGTTATCTCCTTAGAAGCATTTGTAGTGCCAGAAATCTGTAGAATACAGAATAGCAATGTAGAACTAGCAAGGAGAGAATACCCACATTTGAAAGGTATATGGTTTTCAGATGTCTCGAAGTGTCAGGGTGAGCTAGAGATAGATGTGTTGATAGGGGCAGACTACCTCTGGAATTTTTAGTAAATCTGGAGAGCCAGTTGCCATAGAAACTGAGTTAGGATGGGTTTTATCAGGGCCTTTGAGAGTGCAAGATATAGAGGGAGCAGAGTTAGCCCAAGTAAATTTTGTAGCTCAGACAATGAATAATGAAGATAGTTTGGAGAGTAATGTACAGAAGCTGTGGAGTTTTGAAGGGTTAGGTATCTGTGAGGAAGATAAGGTTCATGAGGAGTTTTTAGATGGCATATCTTTTACAGGTAGTAGATATGCAGTGAAACTACCCTGGAAAGAACGCCACGACAAATTGCCTGACAATTATGCAAATAGCTTAGGTAGAATCAGTTGCGACGATTGAAGGAGGAGCCAGCATTGTTGACAGAGTATGATTCTATCATCAGAGAACAGGTAGAGCAAGGGATTGTAGAACCAGTAGCAGCATTAGAGAAAGTTGATAAAGTTCATTATTTACCACACCAGGCAGTCATTCGCAAGGATGCAGTGACCACAAAGGTTCAGGTTGTTTATGATGCTTCATCTAAGGAATGTAAGTCAGGAACATCACTTAATGACTGCTTGCATGTTGGGCCATCCCTCAATCCATTACTATATAGCATACTGATACGGTTTAGAGAAAACAGGATTGCTTTAGTAGGCGATATTGAAAAGGCTTTTTTGAATGTGGAGGTTGATGAGGCAGATCAAGACTGTTTGAGGTTTTTGTGGGTAAATGATATTGAGAGTGATAAGTGGGAAACAGTTGTTTATAGGTTTTGTAGAGTAGTATTTGGATTGAATGCATCTCCATTCTTACTCAATGCAACATTAAGGCATCATGTCTTAAAGTATCTTGAAACCGATCCTGAGTTTGTGAAGAAGGTGCTAGAAAGTTTCTATGTACACAATTTAGTTAGTGGGGAAAGTATGGTAGATAAGGCATTTCAGTTATATGATAAGACTATGAGTAGAATGGCACAAGGGGGATTCAAGCTAAGAAAGTGGTCAACTAACAGTAATCTATTGGAAAGTAAAATTAAGGTGCATGAGACAGACCAATGTAAGATAAAACACATTGTTGAGGATCATCAATCATATGCAAAACTATCCCTTGGAGTAACAGGATGTGAATCAAAATGCCGTAAAGTGTTAGGACAGGCATGGGATAACAAGAGCGATGAGTTTAAGTTTGAGATTGCGAGAGTGGGGGAAAGGGCAAAAACCTTATCACCTACAAAGCGAAATCTACTGAATGTTTTAGCAAGTTTATTTGATCCTCTCGAAATAGTTAGTCCAGTGATTGTATGTGCCAAAATATTGTTCCAAGAAGTATGTAAGGATAAAGTTGATTGGGATGAAAACTTCACTGAGGAGTTACTGCATAAGTGGGAGGGTTGGTACAGGGATTTGATAGAAACTAAGGAAATTACCATTCCTCGCTGTATATATCAACATCGTGCAGAAGATGTTTTGGAGTGTACCTTACATGGATTTGGCGATGCGAGCAAGAAGGCATACTGTGCAGTTGTATATTTTGTGTATTGTACTAATGTAGGGGTTTATGTCTGCTTATTGACATCAAAGGCAAGAGTAGCTCCCTTAAAAGCAACTAGTACTCCCAGGTTACAGTTAATGTCAGCGAGGCTGTTAGCGCAGATTATGAAGTCAGTAAAAGCGTCACTTGAAAACCAAGTTAGGATAGATAGTACCAAGTTTTGGCTTGACAGCATGACAGCACTCTACTGGATAATGAATAGGGGTGAATGGAAACAATTTGTCCACCACCGAGTAAATGAGATCTTGAAGCTAACGAACAAAGGGGATTGGGGGCATTGTCCCGGGGTTGAAAATCCTGCTGACATTGGGTCTAGAGGTGTAATTGCTTCACAATTGAAAGATAACAAGCTATGGTGGGTGGGGCCAGATTGGCACCCCTTTTGACTTAGTTATGGTTGTAAATGTGACAGAGCCAGCTAGTATAAGTAGAGTGATTGAATTGAATGATTATGGGACAGCAGAACAACTTTTTGGGGTAACAGCTTGGGTACTCAGGTTTGGGTTTAATGTACGAGCAAAAGCAAGGGGCATTGATAGGCAAAGTGTGGAGAGTTGACAGTGAATGAGTTAGTTGAGGCAGAGAATATATGGATTAAAGAGGCTCAGGCAGGGTTGAAAGTACACCCAACTGAGTAATAGTTTAGGTTTGATGGAAGAGGAAGGCATTCTGAGATGTGAAGGTAGATTACATAATTCTGAGTTAGAGTTCAATACCAAACACCCAATCATTATACCCAAGGACCACAGACTGACTGAATTGATTGTCCAGAAATGTCACAGTGAAGTGCATCATTGTGGTGTATGGGCAACCTTAGGAAGATTAAGGACAAAATATTGGGTTGTGAAAGGAAGACAAATGGTGAAGCGGATTTTAGGTAGATGCGTCACCTGTAAAAGATTAGAGGGAAAAGCATATAGTGTAGCACAGACGGCAGATTTGCCAGGATTGAGAGTTAGGGACGCTGCACCGTTTTCTAATGTGGGAATAGATTTTGCAGGTCCATTGTTTGTAAAATGTTGTGCAAAATGTCCAAGTAAGGTTTATATAGCATTGTTTTCTTGTTGTGTGACTAGAGCTATACATTTGGAGCTAGTTAGGGATTTATCTGCAGAGACATTTTTGTGTTGTCTACGGAGATTTGCTGCTAGGAGAGGAATGCCAAGCCTTATAGTATCTGACAATGCCAAAACGTTTAAGGCAGCAGAAAGGGCAGTTAGACGGTTGTTTAACCAACCTAAGGTTAAGGCGGAATTGCAAACCAAACGAGTAACATGGAGGTTTAATTTAGAAAGAGCGCCTTGGTGGGGAGGATTTTTTGAGAGAATGGTTCGGAGTGTTAAACAGTGTCTTAGAAAGGTTCTAGGTAATGCTAAATTGACAGTAGATGAACTTACCACAGTGCTTGTAGAGATAGAGGGTACATTAAATGCTAGACCATTAACAGATGAGTATGAAGAGTGTGAAGGAGAGGTTTTGACACCGTCACACCTAATTTATGGTAGAGCTATTAGCTTCATACCACAGAGGGAAGTAGTTAGAGAGGAACGTAGCTGTGGATTAAGATTTAAGTATATTACGTTGAAATTACAACATTTCTGGAAGAGGTGGCAAAGTGAGTACCTGACAGGGTTGAGAGAATTTCATAAATGTAAGAGTCAAAATGCGAGAAAGAGTGTGAAGAAGGGAGATGTAGTGACAGTGTATGGAGAGGGAGAGAAACGAGGTAATTGGAAATTAGCGAAAGTAGAAGAACTAATTATAGGAAAGGACAAGGAAATTAGAGGAGCCAAAGTAAGAGTTGCAGGGAAGGGTAGACCAGTTTACCTGAAAAGACCGGTCCAGAAACTTTACCCGTTAGAGATTCAAGCTCGACCGGGTGGGAAAGGGAAGGAAGGGAATTCCCCTTCAGCTGAGTCAGAAGGTTCCTTGCATGATTTGCATGAGCGTCCAAGACGAGCTGCTGCTGTTATTTCCAAAGCGAAGACAAGGGCGATGCTTGATTCATAGATCAATCCTTTATGAATCAAGGTGGGTGGGGTGTTGTAAGTTCCCAGCGCAGTGCCGCCAGTTTTCCGCACAGCAGTTGCTTCTGCTACTTAATGTACAAATATGTATATAGTATTGCTTAAAATACGTCATAGTGATTCATTGTAATTTAATACCAACATTGATTGAGGCAAATATGTAAATTCAGTTGTGATCAGATCGTAGCGAGACGAGGAAGTCTAAAATCGCGTTGTAAATAGATAATCTTTCCAATGAAATAAATCGATAGAATACAGTCCCCTGAATGTTATTTTGTGTGAACCAGTGTGCACGGAGATCAAAGTGAAGATCTGCAAAACCAATGGTACATTTTCCAACCCTGGTACAGCACAAAGTTGAAAAAGTTGTTAGGAGGCTCATCACCAGTGGTGGACACTAGAGGTCATGAGGGAATCAGTGAAACTCTGAAAGCCTTTGAATGAAAGCTGAATAACTATGTAGCAAAGCTGCAGTAACAGTTAATTGTAAACAAAATGATAGCCTATAAATTGCATGAAATTTAAGGCATAAAAAAGGTTGAAGAACTAACATTTCCAGCTATTGTATCTGCAAAATTAAACTAAATAATTATATTAATATCATTTTACTCGATTCTGATTGGTTAAAAACTGTACCGATTAAACATTAATCACACAGGTGTGCCGATATACAGAGTTGCAAAACCTGTTCAAATTTCCTCCTGGTAAAATTTAAAGTTTTCAAACCTTCCTCAAAATAAATTAAATAGATATGGCTTCATCAAATAGCAATATACTGGACTATATAAACTTAACTGATTCTGAAAGCATAACACACAGTACATGATTCTAGTATATAAATTTGCCATAATAGATTTATACTTTGGACAAATTGGACAGTCCTTACCTACTACGTCTACATCCTATATCATATATTGAATATAAAATTATATTAAATTAAAAATGATATTTCTGTACTTGTGGTTTTGAAAGGCATTTGAGAGTGTTTAGGTCTTCAGAAGTGTGACCCAATCGCGCAATTTCACAATCAGCGAGGCAGCGAATGCTCTCACTTGTTTCCGAAGCAAAGTGCTAAATTTAAACCAAGCAGTATAGTGCCCTGCATGGCAGCTTATGGCAATGTTTGGAGTGGTTGAAAATCAATGGCAATACAATCTCTATACCAGATGCTGCCAATCCTGCAATATACTTATGGTTATCTTATAGTTTGTGGGAATTGACAGTGTAGGTATCAGGTATCTAAATGATGATTTCGATTATAGGACCTTGACATATTCCATCGATCTATATTAAATATGTATAATTCTTCCTCAAGTTTGTTTATAAGGCCATATTTATATAATTATTACAATATTTAGTCGTTACAGCATTGATGGTTTATTTCATTAAATAAAAAAAAACAATTCCTAACATTTAATATTTCTGTGGGTTCTGAAGTGTCATAAACCAAAATAAACATATTATAGTACACATTTCTGTCATTTCCAACATATCTCCACGAACAAGAGCTTAATCCTTGAACAAAATGCGAAGTTCCTGTAAAATGCAATGAAATTTCTTTCAAGTTTGTGTTTGATTGAATTGGCAGTTTAAAATGGCACTAAAACCCCAATATAAAATACCTTAACTGTCTTGAAATATTTTGTCGGGCGGTACATATATTGTATAACAAAATATAAAAAAATTTAACACAGCTCTTAAAATACAGTTGGGCGGTGATGAGAATCCAGCAAGTTATTTTATGTGGCCTAAGGCACCTCTGATGCTTGACACTTACACATTTTAATTTTACAGAATATTTTCAGTTATTGTCTTCTCAGTATTCTCCAATGTCATAGTCATCTGGTATGGGTACTATATCACAATAGTGCCACCACAACTTGTCAGCCTCAACTGCCTTATTCAACCATGATTTATTTGTTTTACTCTTTTGGTGTTAGCGACCATTGGCCACTAAACCTTCCTCACTGACCTCACCTATGGTAAACCTTCCTTGCGGGCAATGCCCACAGCTTTTTTGCAACTCTGGCACATTTGTCACAACAAGTGTGTTTGTTTTTATGACCTACAACCACTTCAGCATGAAGGTGTTCTTTCATGTTTTGGGAACAAATGTGAAGACAGCAAACATTAAATAATAAGATACATTCACTAGCATGGTATATACATTCACTAGCATGGTATATTCCTACTAAGTGTTTTTCCCAGTTTGGCACTTCATCCTTGTAAAATGATATATGATATAGGTTGTTCTCAACAAAAAACTATAAAGTTGCACACTGTTTATGTGTACGACAGTTAATAATAATTATTGCGGCACATATACCTTTACTCTTGACATTCTTAATTATTTCCGAAAAAATTGTGTCTTTATCTGATATTGTACACAGTATGTAAACTTTGTTCGATCCGGAGACTTAGATATGATGTAAGTGTCATTACTCAATTTCAAAATTTCATATATGAGACCTTTGTTATCTATCGTAACATCACCAGGAACAAGAGATCTTAATTCCCCAAGATTGCCATACCACTTTTGGAATGGAAGTTCACATTTTGTAAGCACCAGGCAGGCCCCCTTTAAACAACTAGGGATCCAAGGATAGTGTAAAGTTTCAAATTGACAAATACACTGCAACAACTATATAGAGTCGATGACAACCTAGAACTTCGCTGACAACCAAATTTTGAATCTTCTAAAACCTCATTCGCTAAAAATATCCCCACAAGGTTACTGGTATGCTAAACAAATTTAAAACTATGATTATTCACATCATCCTTTTAGTGCACATTTGACTATTGTCACAGTGACAACTTTAATTGAAATAGCTGTAGAAGATATGTTATGTTATATAACAAGCACTATGAATTAAAATATAATTATAATATAGCATTTGTAAATTCTGAATGCTGATTGGCTAAGAGCCGTGTTGATATAACTCAATGTCAACATGGGAAATTTTCCGCCGCTTGTAAACGCGGAAAATTTTCTGATCCTTCGGGTTTTTGACATTGCTATATTATAAAAAAAATATGAAACATTTTTTCCGTATTGATATATAGTTATATCAACACTCGTGGAAGTTGGGAATTCCACTTGTGTTGATATAACTGTATATCAACATGGAAAATGTTTTATATTTGTTAAATAAAAAACACAGAAATGTGAAAAAGATGCGAAACACTTGCATTTTATCCACATCCGTTCCGCATTTTTCCTCTTATCCATTATGTGGATCCGCACGGTTTTGCATCCACTTCCGCATTTTAACCTAATTGCAACATGTTCAAAAAATCACAACAAGCCTCACTGACCTTTGACTTATTCTCAAGGTCGCATTGTGTTTCATCAGTCACTTTCAGCCTTTCGCATGTATTCAATAATGTCACTGCTTCACAGTTATAGCAGTGTGTATAGCAGTTTGACAAGCTTTGATACAGATAGATTCTCATAAGTCTGGTAGAGTTCTCTTTGTACTGAACACAAGTTTGCATCGTTGGCATTGTGCAAGATATGTATTAAAACATGTTTACACATTGGCTACCTCCTTGCCTTTTTCTTCTATTGCATAAAGCTTAATGGCAAGTCAAGCAATTGGCGATAACATGTGGCTATCTCCTCGTTTAAACTTTAAATAAAGAGCTCTCATAGTCAAGAGATTTTCTTTAATCTTGCAAGTTATTTTCTCTGTAAACGCCATATAAATGTCATACAATAATACAACTTGTGCTTCTGTTTAATTAAATAGTTGTTTACGCTCTACTGATCTGATGCAATTTTTCACTCTTTGTACTGAGTGTAGCCTACACACCGTAGCTATCTATTCTGGTATACCGTCAAAATAATATTGACACTTAATTGAATGCCTAGAATCTCAAAGATGTTCTCAATATTTTATACGTTTCACTATGTCAGAAATGTTTACACATTTGAAAAAAAGCACTGTCTAGCTTTTTCTAGCTCTGTATAATGAATATACAGCCTAAATCCATCCAAATAATGTTGGTACTTGATTGAATGCCCGTAATATGCATAACATCAATTTATATATTGCATAGATTCTCAAAGATTTACACAATATTCATGTCTGAAATGTGTCTACATTTCATCGCTCCTTCCAAGCATTGTCACACAATTGTCATCTACGGCCTGATAGTGCATGTGCATTTGCACTGCTAAAGAAAGAAGCGATTGTTATAATATTTACAAACAAATTACAATAGCAACAACGATTCCTTGAAATTCTGTGAACTTAACAAAAAGACAATAGAATATTTAAATAAGACAACTGAAATTGCCTAAATAAACCTTCAAAGCACTGACTAAGTACAATAAATCACTACGAACATAATTGTATACACCCTCTCTTAATACAATTTGTAGGCCACCATCTTGTTGCATTGAGCAATTAAGTAGGGTTTGTGTCCCTTACATCGTTTTTAAATGTGGTACTACTAGAGCAAAATGTTCAAATATGAAACAGATAGACAAGGGAAGTAAGAACAAGGCTGATACAGCTGATGCCAAAAGAAACAACTATTATTCAAGTGACACCTATGAGGCTGGTTGATAAACTATTAAAAGGCAAAGCTAAGTACGTTTCTATATATTTTTCAGGTAGTTATGCTCTATCTTGAAATTTAACCCAGTTTATACAGAAAGTCACTTTTAAATCATTGTTAGTGTAAACCTCACATACAGTATAAACTCTGTTTTAATAAATTGATATTAGTCTAGTGTGATTATTGTCTTAGTCTAATATACTGTTACAGTGGCGTGCTGGCCAAGGTCCCTCCCCCAGCTGGCAATTCTTGGGGGTGCAAAAATGAAAAGGGGCTGCCGATCCCGCACCAAATTTTGAATGTGGGTGGGAGAAATGCATTTGAAAAAATATAGTTACTAAAAAAGATGCGTTTATAGGCTTATATAAACAGACTGAGCGAGTAGGCGACAATGTGATATATCAGTTTGCAGACTTGGGCAATAAGATTTCGTGCGTGCAAACACAATTTAGTGGCGTGCATCGCGTGCAAAAGGTATCGTATCTAAATTTCTGTGTGCATACTTACCCTTGTCTTGAGCGACTCGGAGCACTTGCCGATCTTTTTGGTCAAAACTATATTTATTTCAACTTGAGATCTTTGTTTTTGTTCGAAAATATAAAAGTCATGTTGCTTATAACCAGGTGAAGTACTTCATTTAACATGCATCAATATGGAATCCAAGCACCCACAGTGAATTTGCTCAGCTGAGAACGTCTTAATTTTGTAAGTTTTAAATTAAATTTCAACATTTTACCGGTTTTATAATAGCAATATGTTCAAGTGATGCTGAAGATGTTAGATGTAAGTACTATTTTTTGTTAATGAATAATAACTATTACTAAATCGTTGTTTTATTGATCTCTATGGCATGTATATATTTTAATATATTTAATGACAATATGCATAAATTCATAATGCATGCGGCATGCATTTTGGACACAAATGGTAATATTGGCTATTTAATGAAAGTCATAAAAGTACATATATTATAAAAATTCTAAAATTTTGTGAGTTGTGACCTGTTAAAATATCAATGACAATTTATTTAAAAAGGGATTTTGGTTGAGAAAAAATGTCATCAAGTGATGAGTACGAGAATACCAGTGACCATGAGCCCGATGTTGAAAGTGAACAGATTGGTGGAAAATCGAGCAAGGTCTCAAATGAGCAAAAATTTTTGCAGTATTTTCAAACCGCTTCCAAGGAACTCTCAGATGGTGGCAATGATCCACAGGTTCCTAAACATGTAAAAAACGTACAGCCTGGAACTAACAAGAAAAGAGTGCAGCAAGACCCTCACTTTTGCTTGGTCTGTAATAAGACGATTTGCCGTGGTAATCAAGCATCAAAGGAAAGACATGCTGCTTCAAACCACAAAAATGATCCTGGCTTCAACCTCTCAAAATCAATTGTTCCAATAAATCATCAAGCTGCTGTTGCAGCGAAAAGGAAGAAAGAAGATAACACATTGTGTGAAAGTGAAGACACAGAGGAAGTAATGGAAATAGAAAATTCTTCTGACAATTCATCTTCTGGAAATGTAAGTCTCGTTCAAGTAACAACCACGCAATTTGGAAGCAAACGTCCTATACAATCAACTCTTAATTTCACTTCTGAAGAAAATTCTAAGCAAGCAAGTAGAGTTTGTGGTGATGACATTTCAGTGATTCACAATAAAATTGACAAGCTTCTAGAACGGATGGAGATAACTCCTTCAGAAAACAAGTTTATGTACAACGGCGAAACTGAAGCGGCAGTAAAGATTTTAAAGGAATCTTCTTGTCTTTCAGACATTCATGGCTCCGGTTTTAACTTCTACCCTGATACTTTTGGAGGTGGAACTGTCAGATGCGAAGCATGTTTTGAGATGATATGTGACAGCAGTCCTGCTCTACTGGACAAAGATCCATTACAAGTTCAACGAAAGATGGAGAAACCTCCAGGAAATACATTAGGAGCTGGATTAATGATTCAAAAGGAAAGAGTGGAAAAGTTGATGACAGGAGGCAATCAACCATGGTATAGCTTTAAAAACATGATGCTAGAACATGCAAGCTGTACAACAAGAAATGGAGGGAATGCACACTACAGAGCACTTATTGCCCGAAAAAGGCGACGTGTTATCAAAGAAAGGTCGATGGATGTATTGTGTAGTCAATTAAAGTCAGCTCTCCCTACAGTCAAAATAAAAGCTGCATCACTACATTACGAAAATGTCATTGGCTTAGTTCATAGTTGCGGTTTGGATGTTGGGAACTTGGGTCATGGAAGAATTCAAATGAAAGCCATGGTTCAAGCTTTTGAATGCTATTTACACAAGCGAACACGCGATCTCCTCACTACGCCTTTACCATCAACAGGACTGCCACCACCACACTTTGGAACTACGTCAGACAAGTCTACTCCAATTCACGTTTCAAATCACGCCATAATGATCCTAGCAATGGTAATTGGCATGAAGACAGCCATTCCATCGATGCTCCGCCTGTGTACTCATTTTCTGAAGCAGGCCTTAAAGGAGGGACAGCTGACGAATTAGCGGAACAGGTGATCTCTGCCCTGGTTAAAACCTTGAAGCTTCCAAATAATGCTTTGTCATCGTTGATGGCCCATCAAGCTGATGGTCAGTACCAGGCAAGAATGTTTCTTCAAACGTTGAAATCATCTGCACAAGGGGACAACGAAGAGGACCTGCCAGTTGGTCATGATATCTTTTTCGTTATACCCTGGGATACTGCCCACTGGATGGATCTTTGTATGGTGGATATTCGTGAGAGTAGCGAGTTCTTACGGCGCTTCATCAAAAGAGCAAACCAATTCAATACGATGTATGGCAGAGGAAAGGGGCATGCTGAATACCAGGACGTTGCAAAGCAAAATTCCTTGAAGGCTCATGTTACTAAAGTGTACGCAACAACACGGTTCGCGAGTAGCTCGTTTTCACAGTTTGATAGCATATACGAAAGTTATGAAGCTCTATGTAAAGCGTTTTCAGCGATTAGAGAAACGGATGATGAAGACGAGGAAATGAAGTATATGATTAAAGGTCGGGATTTCTGCCTAAATCTAGGTGGAATCATAGACATCCTGTCAAAACCTATGGAGATGATGATCAAGTCAAAATCTTTGGATCAGTACCTGTGGTCTGTTACCAAATGGTGGCCAAAAGTAAAAGCCATTCTACTAGCAATGAAACGAGATCTGACCGGTCAGCTATCTGACATTCAGAAAGTAACAGTACGAAAGGAACTATTCCCAAAACTCTGGAAACATTATGAAGATCTTAATGAAGAAGATAGCGTAGGGGTTCAGTTATTACCAGGATGGATGGTCGTGGATACGGCAGAACAGGTCGACAGCATTTCCAAAAAGAAAAGAAAAGTCATTGAATGGAGTGAAAGAACGGTGGAAGATTGCTTAAAAGATCTGGTTATCCTTTCCGAGAATGTTACAGATGGAATGGATTCTAGATATGCCAAAAGCGTCTCCGAAGCAGCACATATATTGGGACGTTGTTTACATTTACCAGACGTCGTATCCTTTGTACAAGGACTAAACGGCAGATTCACTGCACGTCAAGTAGCTGCTCGTGATGTTTATGGGAATGCTGAGTTCCGCTCCTTCTACACCTATGTTTGTTCCTTGGCCCACATCAAACGATTGTATGTATGTAAAACTTTATTTCAATACGCTAACTTCGACAATTATTTACAACTGGTTTCCACGAAGGGCGTATACACACAAAGAGCTAAATGTTAATTATATATAGAACAAAATATGTAAGAATTCCACCCTGAAATTTTATCATCTTCCTCCCAAACCTCCACCCCCTAAACAAGTACCCACCCACCCTCACGCAAAACTAACCCCCCTCCCGCCCACAATCTATATTGTCCTCCCATCATTTGGTCCTGGAGAAATTAGCTTATCATCTGCTTAAATGCAATTTCGCCATTGTTTTAAATGACGTAATTGACTCAGCCGCCTTGACATCTTGCGGGAGACTATTGCATAGAATTGCTCCACTGTATCCAAATGTTTTCTTTAGAAATTCCGTTTTCGGTTTTTTTAACGAGAGATCAGTTTCGCTATTGCGTAAATCATAAATATTCTGCGATGCATTTCTCCGAGAAAAAAGATCTTTAAGGTTTGGCGCAGTGTGGTTCCCCAAGACTTTATACATCAATACTAGCTTGGTTTGTTCTCGTCTCCTAGCCAGGGTTTCCCAGCCTAATTTGTTTAGGACTTCAGACGATCTTACATCGTAGTCAGCTCCGGTAATCACCCTTGCTGCTCGATTTTGGAATTTTTGCAATTTGTCTTGAAGTCCCAAACCACAGTTATCCCACAGGGAGAACAGTAATCAAAATGAGGCTGAATTAATGTTTTGTAGACATCATGTAAGGTTTTGTGTGGTACATAAGGTTTTATTCTTTTAATTGCTCCTATTCCAGCGCTAATCTTATGGCATACAGAATCAATATGTTTCTCCCAACTTAATTTTTCATCTAGATTTACACCTAGACATTTAAATGTATTGGTTTGTGGGACTGGGATTTTGTTAATCTCAACGGGTCTATTTCCTATTTTATGATTTAGATTATGCGTAGATCCAATAAACATGACTTTGTTTTTTTCCTATGATATTTTAGTTTGTTTTTAGCAAGCCATTTATGAATACTGGAAAGGTCCATATTCAAATTGTCAATCAATGTATCGATTGGCAAAAGAATCTCTATCAGCTCTATCAAACCACGCGCATCGTCAGTTCAAGGACGTAGTTTTTCAAGTGTCTCAAGTTGTCTGGATGGATCTCGGCGGGTGCAGAAAGTATTGGTTTCCACCTGAACGACCTGAAGAAGGAACACACAGTCAAGCACCGTTAAAGGAATATACAGTTAAGAGCGAAGATCATGAAATAGATGAAAAATTCGTTTTCACTTATGATGATGGTGTTTACACTGCCAGATTGGACCAGGCCACGGCATTCTCAACGTTTTATACGAATGAAGCAATATATCAAGCGGCAGGCAAAGAATTCTGTATAGCATTGGATGTTGCACTGGCTATGAGTGGTTCCGAGGCAGTTGTCGGGTCGTACTATTCCGTGATGAATACGCAGTCGAAGGCAGAGGGTCAATTGAATGACACCCTCACCCAGCGAACAAACGTAGACTGGTGTTTCCTCATGCCTTTACAGTGTGTGGAAACTATTAGAGAGGTGGCGTCCCTATATTTGGACGGCAATAAAGAGATCGGACTACCACGTCATCAAATTCCAGTGTTCGTGGATGAACGAGGTCGCGCTTTAAACAAGTATGCACTGTACAGAACTGATTACTTTGTTTTAAATGAAAAAGATAAAGACTACAAAAAGTAGATTTTGAAGTGAAAGAGGTACTGCTTTGAACAAGTATTGTATGTGTTTCCAGAACTAATGGAAGCAAACTTCTTGTTAGATGGACTTAGTATGATAGATGTTTTACATTACATTGTTTAATATTGTAATTAATAACGATATTGAAATTAAT